TCAAATTATTTATTTTCTTTCATCATCATAATAACGACAGCTCAGTTATTTTGAACCGCGCAATTAACACCTTTCCTCTTTTCAATAAGACATATCTCGTAGATATAATTTCATATATATGCTTGACGAGTTGGCAATTAATTAATTACAAATATCAAAATTATAAATATTTATAATTAGTTTTTCAATTCATGGCAATAATGCCTTAATAAACTAGAAAAATGATAACGAGAGATGAGAGAATGCACACAAGCAGGGATCCAAGTGTCCAACCTAGCTATAAAGAGTCAAACACGCACTAATAATTGATACGAAAAAAAATGAAAGAATTAGTAAGGTAATAAAAGCTAATTAATGATCATTAAATGACAATTTTACCATTAAGGTCTTGTTGACAATTCATTAAACATAATAAATCATTAATTTTCTATGAAAAGGAGATATATAGATTGTTGGCCATATATCCTATCTTAATGTTAAGATCTGTCATCCTTTAATTTATGTCATTGTCTTGATCATTGGACTGAATCGTTCACATCACTGAATATGTATATATAATTTGGTATTCATTATTATCAATCGAATGAGAGAATACTTAATTACCATTTAAATAATGATGACGTTTTTGAAAAGACTAATTCATGTAAAATTAGTTTGAGAGCTTTATTATAAATTTATAACTTGCTGGCTTGATTAAAATGGTTTTACTCTTATTGATGGCTTTATTTAGGGTCCATTTGGTGTGGGGGAAATGGAAAGAGGGGAAGAGAGAAAATTTTTGATGAGTTCGAGTTAAAAAATTAATGAAATGAGTTTAAAAGCTTTTAATTAATTTTTACTACTATTTTATTTCACTTTTTTTATTAAAATTTTATAACCCTATTTTTTTAATTTTTTAAATTGAGATCATGCAAATTTTTCCACCCATCCGCTTCTCTCTATTTCCCTCATATCAAACATAGGGTTAGGAAAATTATATAATATATATAAGGGTAATAAAAATGAAAATAAAACATAGAAAATATCTTTCTTTGAGCTGTACAAGTGGCCATAATATAATAAGAGAAGTGCTTAAAATTGTACTTTATATATATATATATATATAATATATATATGCGGACTGGTGAGGGTTTTGAATTTAATGAGCATTTTCAACTATATGATGTTATTTTAATTTTAGTAATATAGCTTCTAAAAACTTAAAGCTCATATCCCTCTACTTGTTTTAAATATAACACCCATTTTGTAATATAAATTACACTAAAAAATTGAGTTTTAGTTTAGGGCCAAAGGAGTATAAGATATGAATAATACATATTTTTGTTTTCAAAAAGATGCTACATGTCTTTTATGAAGAGTTCATTATTTTATCTTTCATATGATTATTTGTAGTAAAATACTAGTAAAATATCACATAACTGTCTAGTGATAACAGAACAGAGCCCATAAAAATATTGAATAATCCATCTTAAATCACGAGATAAATTGATTTAGGTGAAAGCACAAAGAGCGTATTTTTATTAATATATTGCTCTATTATCATTAATATAAAATAAATCTAAATGTGTAAGCAGTAAGTTGTTATGACGTTTAGATAAGATTTTTGGCTTAAGGTTCGCATTGACGTGTTTATGTACGTACATGTAAGTTGTATAAAATTAAAAAAAATTTAACATGTCTGTGCGTAATATATATACTTAAATTTTTTATTTGTTCCTATCAATAATCAATTTTGCTATAAATGTCTTTCATGAATATAAAGCTGTACACGAATTTCTAATTTAATTTATATTTGGGGAATTATACTTTAGGGCCAATACATCAGTTTAAATTCATTTTAGATTAAAAAATTTCAAATTTTCAATAAAGTGCCAAAGTTGCTTAGTAATGAGATGCAATTAATTAGTTGTCCTTTTTTTTTTTTATTTCATGTTAAAATCTGAAAGATTAGTGACAAATTAGTACTAAATTGTGGAAAACGAGTGTCAAATCCTTGCAATTATATATGCATATTGGTTAAACAAGTATTTCAAATTTCGACATTGAAGTTAAACTATCAATTGCAAACTTTCATGTGTTAGTGTCAGATTTTGAAATGCACCTATATGTGATTTGAATATTATTGGCAAAATTTTCACGTGTTATTAAACAAAATTTGAAGGCTCATTGTGAAAATGTTTATGTGTGTATATGATGAATAAGTTTTTTTAAATCTTTTATGTTAGAAGTTGTCATCAATTACATAATTTTCACATTCCAATGTCATTTTAAAAAAATTAAAACTCCTAATTAACAAATACATATAGTCGGGACTAATCTTCTGCAGTTTGTTACTGAATATATAATTGGTATGACTCTTGGTCATTTGTTGAAAATTTAAATTTTTTTATCTCAGTCTTTTTAGAATTAAATGATGGATTGGTATCAAAGTGTCATTCGCCCTTATACGTGTGCGAATTTCCTAAATATTAATGATTAGATCATTAGTATATGTAATATAAAAGTTATAAAAAGTATAACAGTGTTAATAGGATATGTTGGTTAAACGACAAGGGTGACACTTTCATATTGTATGATGTATCTTACACCACTAATTTCTGTAATTGTGCAAGCGCAAGATTAATTATGTGATAGATTTCATTCAGACCAACAAAATATGCAATAGATTACAATTATTAGTAAGATAAATATTGGCTTTTTAAGAAAAAAACTCTCTTCAATTATAAATGTCTAAGTTAGTTGACGTATTTGCTTTAATTCTAAATATATATAGTATCACAGTTCACTGTAGCTTATCTCACAAATTTTTAATTACTTTTCCAAACAATTTTATTGATGATAAATACAAGATGGATCAACAGTAAGTTGTCACTTATCATGTTTAGATGAGATTTTAAAATCGAGCCTAACATTACCATGTTTATGTGTGTGTTTAATTATATAAAATAAAAAAGTGTAAAAAGGTATTTTAAAGAAGTAAATTCACATCTATTACAAACTAAATAACTAACTAAATTATTTTTTATTAGTTATCTAGTAAATATGCTGCTTAAAGCTAATCACTTTTATCAAATTTTCTCATTATTTGAAAACTATTGGGTTTATATAAAATTATATATTTTCCTGGTTTTAAATTACATTTAGAATCATACGAGTATTGATTAATAATTGGGCTATATATAACATGTCCCTTTTTTGGGGTAGCGCGACTCACTATTCACAACAACAATGGTGAGGAAGGGCAAGAGCACGTGGGAGCACAGAAAGAAGAAAATCAAGTCGAGACAATATCATACATTTGATTACCCAAAAAAGACAAAGATTGACATGTATTTCTTCGTCATCCACATGTTTACTACTCCTGGAAGATAATTAATTAATTTGAATAGATTAAGAATGTTAATTAAATTAGTTATCATAATATGTTCTTTATAAAATATCCTAAGTATTTTTCTTAATTCTCTCCCTCCTCTTTCTATTTGATTATTGTTGGGAAAATATTAATATGATTAATTTTTTAAAAAAATGATAATATATAACATAAGTCTTATACATATGACTAATATTAACTTTCTAATTAGGTCCTATATTAAAAACTAGAGTAGTACTTTAAAATTTTTCATATCAACACAAGTTGATTCACATTTCAATATCTTATTGTTAAGCAAGTTATGTCAGTTTAAGACTCAAAACACTCAAATTTAAATTAATTAATAATACAACATCCAGTCATAAATATAAGAGATAGCTAAGAGTCTTAGTCCTAAATATAAGATCTTAATTGACTTTGCAAATTTATACTACCTCCAATCTTTAATATAAGAGCTAATTTAACACTCAATTTGGTCCTAAATATAAGATCTCGGTCCCAATCCACTTTGTTTTTCATATTTTTTTTTTTTAAGATAATCAATATAGTAATTACACATATTAAATATTTTATCACATAATAATTCTAGCTAATTTATGGAAGACAACACCTATTTATACAAAATAACTAACTTAACTAATTTTTTTAACCTACTCAAATTAGTCAACTAAGTAGTAACTTCTTGCCCAAAGTACCCATATTGATCACATATACTAAGGAGATTCCCAATTAATAGGTAGCTTCTAATGCACAAGATTAAATAGGCTAATTTATGAAAACCATGATGTATTTATTACAAATAATTAATTACATTAATTTTTAATATATATAAATTAGTTATTTATCTCTTATAATATAAATGACTGGATGTAGTACTACCTAATACTAAATAGCTATGCTTTAACCGATGAAATGCATTACGTATATACATACTAAGGGCTTATTTGGATTGACTTATAAGTAACTTTCTAAATGTAATTTACGGAATACGAGGTAAATATATAAATAAAGTTTTATTTCGATTTACGTGAACTTACTTAAAAGTGTTTTTTTAAACGAAATTCCAAACAAGCCCTAAATATATTGAACTTAGAAACAATCATCAAACTTATGGACCATTGTTTATGTGTTCAAATTTGATGGACATTAAGAGAGCGTTGTGTCCTTTACTTGATTATTATTGTTATTATTCAAAATGGGCAACTTTTTCTCCTCCCTTTCCCTACCAAGACAAACGCAACACTCCCACATAGACTATTTGTTTCCATCCCATTATCATATGATTTGACTTATCTTATCTTCTCCCCCCCCCCCGCCCCTTTTCTCTCACTCCCTCCTTCTCGTTTTGAGCCAACCAAACTGATACCCCCACGACGTTCAATTAATTCCTTCTTATTCAGTCTTTCTTATTTATAATTAGTGCTTCATCTTGTTTTGGAAAAAAATTAGAAAAAAAATCCCTAATTAAAAAACTAATTCGTAAATGGTACCTGTAATTCAGATTGCTGGCCAATCGAGGTACTATTCTCCAATGAAATTCTCAAGCAGAGATTTTTTTCCCTCCTAACTTTTCCTTTTATATTTTTTCCCTTTCTCCTCTAATAATGTAGCTACCTACAAAAACTGACCATTCACATAATTATACTACTTAAGATAATTCAACAACAGCACTACATTCCAAATTTAACTTTCAGAAGTTGCTAGCCCACTTGCACACTACTGTTGTGAGTCTCGTTTACATCAAACAATCCGCTCTTAGGCGCACAAACCTCAACACGCGATAGTGCTTCGTTGAAATGCTTTGCTTTGGTCCCAAGGTACTCGTTCCACGTCACCGGCCTATACAATGCGGGCCGACTCGGGCCCACTAGCTTGGCATGTGGTGAGATCGTCACATTCCCTGGGGGCCCGTACAAATATGCCACTGAGAACCGTTGCCAGGTCCGGTTCACAACTGCCCGGTGGAGCACGCTTGGGTATAAACCGTTTGATAAAATGTGGAGGAGATCACCAACGTTCACGACAAGCGTGCCGGGGAGTGGCGGCACCGTCACCCACCCCATGCCTTCGCGGAAAACTTGCAAGCCGCTGATGTTATTCTGGTGTAAGATAGTCAAAAGGGTAGAGTCGGTGTGGGCGGCGAGACCCATGGCTCGATCCGGGTCGGGGCAAGTTGGGTAGGAGTTCAACTGCAAAGCAGCAGAAGCCCCGTTGAAATCGCCTCTTGGGCCGGCCCATTGGAGGTCCCCCTTTGATATACCCAGAGAAGCCATAAGGAGCCACATGAGCTTTCCCGCGAGGTTTTTCATCGCTTCTTCGTACCGCTCGACAATATCACTGGACAAACGGGCAAAATATCAGAAAACGTTGTGGAATAATTATAGCAACCACATCTATGGGATCGATCGATAGAGTCATGAACAGTGAAAAAGTTGTAGGTTGTTGTGTTGGATTTTTTTTTTTTTAATGTCGTGGGTGGGTCCACAGCCCTCTCATTGTAGTCTTTGCTAATTGCGTTAGGATAAGAAAATGGTCTTATATATATATATATATATATATATATATATATATTTGGCCAGCTATAGTGGCATCATCAATGCAAAATTAAAACCAAAATTAGGAAAAAAATTCCAAAAAAATAGAAATTAAGGGGGGAGGAACAGGGAGAAGCACGTGCAAGAGGGAGTGTGAGAATAGTATTAAAATTACCGATAAGAGTTTTAATTAATATTTATTTTTACTTACCAGTATTTAGTGTAGTCGTCAGGCCAGAGTTGGCGAAAATGGTGGAGGGGGGATCCAACAATAGTGAAGCCTTCGGACCACATGAGCTTGGGGAAGAAGGAGGAGATTCGAGCGCGGCCATAGCCAGAGACGCCGTCGGGGGAGCGAGCGGCTCGGAGCTTGTGAGCGGGAGGAAGGGAGAAGAGGGCCTTGCCGGCGACCTCAATGTCGCGGAGGAGGGCGGAGGGGATGCCGTGATTGACGACCTGAAAGAAACCCCAAGATTTGCATGCACGGCCAATGAAAGAAAAGGCATTCGGATCATCAAGATCAACGACGGGAACCCGAACGGCGGCATCGTGGCGGAGGGAATCGGCGGTGGCGGAGGAGGACCACGCATAGGAATCGGGAAGTTCTTGAAGAGAAGTGAAGTCAGGGTGTTTCTGGTGAAGAAACACAGGGTGGCTTCGGAAGGCGTCGGATAGAGAAGGCATAGTTGAAGAAGAAGAAGAAGATAATGAGAGTGTGCTTTGTGAGAGAGTTTTGGAAACGGGTGGGAAATAGTGGCTAGTGGAAGAAGTACTTGTAATTAGAAAACATGGGACCTTAGAAAGATAAAGATGGGATGAGATATATCATCGTGCCTGCCGAGTATATATAGAGATGATGGCCTGGATGGTGACAACCCTGCCCTCACCCCGGCCCCTTCTACTCTCAACATTCTCAGAAGAGACTTCAATTCATTTCTGGGACTCATTATTACATAACACTAATGTTAAATTATAGGGTTTTCTTCAATTATGAAAAACTTAAGTAAAAACTGAAACTCTTGCTGCGTACTAAAAATTAGAAATTTAAACCGTCCAATGTGTTCTCCCTTATTAATTCTTCCACCACGTATTTATGGACAATGCTTTTATTTTACTTTAAAAGACTAGGGTCATGGTGAAACTGTGGGGAAAAAAAATAATTAACAATGCATATGTACGTCATGGCTTTGTAATTTCCCCCTTTGTGAAGCGAATTGCCTAGGAGATGTATAGAAATTTAAAAACAAAACCAAAAAAGAGAAAAAGAAGTATAATAATCTATTTTTTGAGTGGTTTGCATTTACCTGTCTCAACTTTTGAAATAAATATATATATTGGTTTAAAATTGTCAACTTCTAAGATTTAAATCTTTCAATTCGACTGGTCTCAATTAATGTCTGATAATTGAGATGCCAAATTCATCTTCTTCTTCTTTTTTCATTTGTCTTGTTATACGCGGTTTTGGTGATTGCGTCCTATGAAATTTCACTTCAAAATCACCCTGTAATTGGCTTTATAAAACCTTTTCAATTATTCTATATTTTTCAGTGATTTAAATTAAAGCATTGGTGAAAGGGGACTGAATAGGAGCCATAGCCTTCGAAACTTTCAAACATTTCTTAGTATTGTATAGATATTATGCATATCTAGCTCTCAAAATTCATAAATATTTTGTATTATATATGCTTTTTAATGTTGAACCACCCCACCCCCCTCATATTTAAATCCTAACTCCACCCCTAATTTAAACCTAAGAAGCTTATGCTTACAATTTGATAAAATCTTGTTCCATAACAAATAAAAAAAAAACATCTTGATTAATGATATTTCAAAAATGTACTTTACTTTCATTACTTTATTTTTGGTAGAATATAATGGTGTCCAAGAATATGAATTAGTTGGAAACCTAAGTAAGGAGTAAAATTTTAAATATGAATTTCTCCTCCATTTACAAAACCCAGACGCAAAACCTTAAGGGCATATTTTAATTTTAACAAATTAAGAAAATTATTTACAAATAAATGAATCTAATAAATAGAAGAAATTAATTATAAAACAACACATATAGACATATTGAGGAAAATTTTGACTTTTGAGAGAGAGGGAGGGAGGTAGAGATGCAATTGGAGAAAGGAAAGGACCATAGTGTCCTCCACAAACAACAATAAGTGATAAGTGGAGGAAAGAAAAGGCATCTCAACCTCACAATGATTCAAAACAAAAACCAAAAGAGAGGTGAAAGAGAGGTTTCCACGGAGGGGGGGAGAGAGAGAAAGAGTAGGGTCCCTCCCTTCTCCACATGTGCCCTTGTCTTGTCGTTCAGTAGAAAATATTCATTAAAATCAAACACTTCCTTTCGCTACTTGACATTACCCATTTGGGCTCCTCATCTTCCTCTTCTTGACCAAATAAAACATTTTTGTCGTATATTTGTGTAGAGTTTGAAAAAGTCAGTCATGCTTTTCATATCTTATACTAGTAATATAGTTTAAATTATATATATAATTGATATGCCTATTATTCCCATGTCCTATGATTTTAAACTTTTATAGCTCAGCACATACCCCATTTTGATTAGCTTATAACAAATGCATGTTTTCCACTATACGACATAAATATGAAGAAGAGTTTCGTATCATAAAGTATTAAAAAGGTTATTTTAAGAGATCCCAAATACTCCTTAATCTCCATATATATAAATGAAGAAGGAAAATTAGAGTATTCAATTATTTGTACTTAATTTCTTAGAATTTAAATATTTTTAAATATAGTCCCAATCATTCTATTTTTGCGGATGCTTTGTCAAATATAGTATTAATATTATTATATCATCGATGACTTTTTTGTTTTACTATTATCTATGTAGTTTTCATAAACCATATAGATTTAGAATACTAAAATTATATGTAATTATTTAGACAGAACATTTCCATAATTTCAAAAGTAGGAAAGAAATTAAGAATCTGTAAAATTTAAAATCCTATGACAAATTTGATGCATAAAAATAAAATATACAAGTTATAAATTGAATGAAATTATAAATATCAAGCACACTTTAGTTCCAAAGAAAAAGAAGTTATGAGAATTATTGCCCTCCCTTTGCTTTTTCCCCCTTGTATATATTGTCATTTCCATTTGGAAAAAGGCAGATTATTGATTTATCACTGATTTTCCTTTTTGAATGCCTTTTCGGTATTTTGTGTTTAGATTTGTTCTTACACTGCCCCATATTACCTCAAAGTGGGCTCACTTGTTTAATACTACAACATTTTTGTGAGTTGTCCCTATTATATATGATTAATAACGCTAATGCCTCTTTTTGTTTGATATGAAAGCCAAATTTTTTTCGATTATAGAATATATTTTACTCTCATTTTATCTTCTTCCTCATTACACCAAGAGGTTTAGGATGCTCCAAATTTATTTGTTTTTTCTTCATCTATCTTTTCGAGTTTGTTCCCATTTTTTCATGCATGCATGGCCTCCTAATTATAATCAAATAAAGCAGAAAATGACAATTGATTGTGTAAATCATGTCATTAATTAGTTATGTATGTACTTTATATTATAACAATAATGGATAGCCACATGTTTCTGCTCATATATGTGGTCAAAGAAGGCATCAAGACAGATAGGATTGGGGTTTCCTTACAACAAAAAAAATAAAACAACTTTTCGTAGTAGTTTTTCTTCCTGACCTGCCTTTTGTTTTATCTTATTATTTACTTTTAACTAGTGCACACCTTGTGTTTTATCTTAATTAAGCTTTCCTTTGCATTACATTCTTTGCAGTGAATCCGTCTAAACATAAAATAGTACTCCCCCCATCTTTAATTATAATAATAAGGACCTATTACTAATGTTACATAAATTAAAAAATTTAATAAAAATTAGTTAATTCTATTAAATTTTCAAAATTAATATCAATTAAATTCAAGATAGAGGGACTTGCACTCTAGATGGATTCCTCCTCAAACTAGTTGGGTCAAGCTTGATGATATCAATGTATCTATTGATCAAAGAAGTGTTGCAACATGTGGTGGCCTTATTCTAGAAACACCTGGATAAGGGGCTTCACCAAATATCCCATATTCTTTCCAAGAAACGTGACTCAATATTCTTGATGGAGTCAACAACTAGTTACCCTAGCGACAATGTCACCTACCATACTTAAATGACGAGGTCTTCAATTTGAATCCAACGTAACATTGATATGCTTGTGTGCTTCCGTGCAAATTATATTAAATTAAAAAAATTATTCTTGATGGGTTGAATCTTTGTTTTAATGATGGCCATTATGATTTGGCAGAGGCTATGAATCTCATTCAAGACGAACATTCACACCTTTGAACCATCCTCTTATGACGAGTATTACCAAAAGAATCAAAGACTTTATGATGCCAAATTGAATGGTCACCTTCAATCATGTGTTTAGAGAAGCCAATAAAAACATGAATTGGCTTGGTGACTGGCTTTCTTACCAAGCTGAGCCACTACAAGGATAATAATATCAGGATGCTTATTAGCAGCTCTCCCATAGGGTACACAGAGCCTTTTCTTTTTGACATGTCTTAATTTCTTGGCTCTTCTTTGCATGAATTTTTTTGTGTCCTTAAATTTAAAGAAGAAGAAGAAGAAGAAGAATCGAGTATGTTAATTTTGTAGTACTTTGCTTTTTATTTTCCTGAAAGAAAATCATTTGGTTTGGATCCCTATAGACATGACCAAGATTCACAGACCAACTTTCATAGTACTCCATCTGCATGCACATGCGGTTCACGTGGCTCAGACATGGTGAGGTCGGGACCGTACGTAGTTGGGTTGTAACTCAGCCATAACTTTTTTTTAGATAAGGTCAAATTTTCTCAACTTGTTTCAATTATCTATTCTCTTGCGTCTTTTATGACATCAAATTCATAATTTCATTTTTGAAACATTCTTCTCCTTTCGATTTGGTCTCTTAAAATCTTCTCTCTTATCTTAACTTTTCTCTTTGAATTGAAGAGGAAAAAAATATTCTCTGTTCTATCTATTTAGTTATCTGAAAATACATTTGAACTGATTAAAAAAGTATCCTTCACTCATTCTATTATGGCTTTTTGATATATTATTAGACGGATAATATCTTAGGAACAAAATCATTAATTTACACGCGCGCGCGCACAAAAAATCTTTTAGGCTTTGGTGTTGGGAGATTTCGTAGACTGTGCAGTCAATATCCTGCTGAAGAATGGCTTGTCGTGTGATGAATGATGAATATTTCAATGTGGTGGAGTTTATTGTATGAAAATTATGTATTTAATTATTTTTACACGAATTTTAAAGTGTGGTTGTTCATATGGAGACAGGGAAGTTTCTTAAATTCTTTTTTATTAGATGAAAATTCTCTTTTGGAGTAGCATGCAAGACAGTCCACAATTTGGACGGCAACATACGGCGGCTTTTGTCATTTGGACAGCTTTTTCCAGTACATACGTTTGCCTTCAAATTTCCCATTTTGACGGCTTTACGTTGGTCCCATAGATTGCCGTACGTAGGAATCAGGAGTTCAAATATCCCAAGAGTTTTTATGGAATTTTCAAATTCCTTATGGCAAATTTCAAATTCAAACCCAAGGAAAATTTTATTTAAAAGATTAATTAGTTAAAAACAAAATGTTTTGGACTAACAAAAGCAATCTTATCCTATAAGAAGGAGAATACAAATTCAAATATCAGAAAATATATTTGTTGGGAAGACTTTAACCTAACACTCATAATATGATAAAGATTAGTCTCAAGTCC